TTCCATTCTACGTGACTTTACCGAAAGAACCAAGAAGATGACACATTTATACTTACGCGATCTAACCCAAAAAAAATAAACTTTTTTCTAGATAATATAGCGTGCGAAAGCCTACGTGCTAAGCCATACAATGGCCTGGCAGGAGAAGGCGGTAGCGCAAAAGTGAGGACTGACGTCACCTGCCCCTGCTGTATGGGATAGAGTTGCTCCCCCCCCCCCTTGCACCCCATGGGTTTTCTACAACTGCTCCGATTTTCTCCGACGTAGTATTGACACCGATTAATGGCTGAAAACACCTTAATATTTATCCATAATATAGGTTTTTTTGGGATTAGATCGCATAAACAAATGTGCCGTTAAACCCGCCACCACCCGACACAGCCAATTGGTAAGGTTTGTCACGTAAACAGAACGCGCCAATTCTTGACTAGTACAGCACCACCGGTGTGTTGGTGAGCAAAGCCACAACGTTTATACTGCGAGTACGACGGTAATTACAACGAGCATCATCAGGCGACCGCCAGATTTGTGGAGGACGTAATTCTTGTGACTTGCCTCTCCCAACACACCGGTGGTGCTGAATTGGCACGTTCTATTTACGTGACAAACCTTACCAATTGGCTATGTGGTTTGCCAGTGTTAACCACACAATTACATATTTACACGATCTAACCCCAAAACAAATAAACCTGGATTATGGATATTGGTCGCAAAAAGCCTACGTGTTAAACCACCTTAATTCTAGATTTGAAGCTTTCGTGACTGCAAGGATTCATACTCGTAGGTTTTTCGGCAAAGTCAAGTGATACAGTAAATCTGGCTGTGATGGTCCCACCTGATGACGGAGACTTGTGTTGCCTCCGAAACGTCGTGATTTATTATTTTATTTCTATTATTATTTCTACTATTATTTTTTTTTTTATTTATTACCTACGTGACTTTACCGACAAAACCTAAGAGTATGAACCACCTTAATATTTAGCGAACTGCAGAGCATGGGCAATTGTTAGTAGCGCCAGCTCACTACTCAGCTGCTGCTGCCTTCTGGCTTGGCATGTGATTTCACGGGGTGATTGTGAGATGCAACTTGAGAAAAGGGTGCTCCGTAAAACAAAAAATGGGATTCATACTCTTAGGTTTTTTCGGTAAAGTCACGTAGGTAAAAATAAATAATAAAAATAATAGAATAGGAAAAAAGTATTATTTTTTTATTTTATTCTTTAAATTTTTCCTTATTATTTCTATTATTTTTATGATTTATTTAAAAATAAATCATAAAAAAAATTATAAAAATAATAGAAATAATAACAGAAATAAAATAATATATTCTTTTATTTATATTATTATTTTCATTTCTATTATTTGTATTATTTATTTGTATTATTTGTTTTTATTATTTATTTTTTCCCTACGCGACTTTACCGAAAAAACCTAAGAGTATGAATCCTTGCAGTCACAAAAGCTTCAAATCTAGAAATTAAAATGGGATCACGCCGCAGAATCGTTCGGAATGGTTCATTTTTACGCTCACCTTCACACATTCCACCTGACACCCACACCAAGAAAATGTGATCAATGTAAAACACTGGCGCTGTGCATTTACTGCAAGCCCTGGGTTTGATGGTTATAACACGTCTGTGCAAAATGCGAGCTCCTACATGTGGAATTCTTTATGGGCCATGCTGCGGTTTTAATCCGAGACGACTTTCTCAAAGGACAGAGGTTTAGGATAGGGCACACGTCCGCATACAAATACGCACGCACAGATATACACACACACACGCACAAAGTAACACCCTGCTCACACGAGCATCGAAGCATTCATGCTCATCTCCTGTTTTATATTCCTGAGCCAGGGGTAGTAATTCCACATTCCTTTGGCAGGGGTAAGTATATTCAAACAACCACTGTGTATTCCTCTACAAAGTGAAACTCGTGGTATGGGGACGATGATCTGAGTCAACCCCAAACCAGGATTTGAACTCGCAAACTTCTGATTGCAAATCTGGCTAGCAAGACGAATATCTTACCAGCAGCAATTGCCCAAGCAAGAAAACCTTCGACCGATTTTAATATTATGGGTCTTGTAAATAAGAATGCCACTCACTGGGTTACCAGTAGTTCCTGGCAAGAGCACTCCATCTATATGATGGGACCCTGTTCAACACAAAGGGCAAGATGGCATACACATCCACAACCATAAAACACCAACACGAACATACATTTTAACGTACACAAATACGCACACAGACGGAAACATAAACACGCATACACCGACATGCAAAGACAAAGGTCTCTCGTATAGCCTGAACAGACTGTAGGGGCAAGTGCTGTTAGCGAGCACCTATGCAGACTGGCACGGCACACGAGGGGGGGGTGGGTGGCCAGCATCATGCCCGGCCGCCTTTGCATCCCCAGTGACGATGTTTACACACCACACCAGCTACACACTTGAGGCTGAGTCGTCGACCTACATACACACACGTATGCACACATACACACGAGGTACACGCACACACATAGTAAACACACTCTGCAGTCTACTCATCCGACCGTACAAACACAGGTCTCCCGCTGACACAGACTGCTGGTAAAGTGCCCTCAGTCGGCACTTACTTAAGGGCTGTGAGTGGTGTTGAAAGCGCAATGCAATCCCGGCCGTATTTGTCTCCTCCAGAGCCAACGATAAATGACCACACCGCACCAGGAACTCATTTTAGGCTGAGCCGACCTACACGCATGCGTGCGTGGCCCAGCTTTTAAATACAGAATTCTGTATTATCATTGAAGCAGTAATACATTGTTACTTTGGTCACATAACTGTATTAATGCTGGTAGGAACCTCCTGGTTACACCAGCCCACAGGGGATTATTGTGTCCGTCCGTCGTGCATCCAAAAATGGGAGGGGTGGGGCTGGGTGGAGAGGGGAGGGTGGGGAGGGGCTGGGTGGGGGTGGGAGGGGTGGGGCTGGGTAGAGAGGGTGGGGAGGGGCTGGGTGGGGAGGGACTGGGTGGGGAGGGTGGGGCTGGGTGGAGGGTGGGAGGGTGGGGGCTGGGTGGAGGGTGGGAGGGTGGGGGGTGGGTGGAGGGTGGGAGGGTGGGGGGGCTGGGTGGAGGGTGGGAGGGTGGGGATGGGTGGGGGTGGGTGGGGGCTGGGAGGGTGGGGGCTGGGTGGGGGGTGGGAGGGTGGGGGCTGGGTGGGGGTGGGAGGGTGGGGGGGGGCTGGGTGGGGGGTGGGAGGGTGGGGGCTGGGTGGGGAGGGGCTGGGTGGGGGGGGGCTGGGGAGGGGCTGGGTGGGGGGGAGGGGTGGGGAGGGCTGGGTGGGGGGTGGGAGGGGTGGGGAGGGGCTGGGTGGGGGGTGGGATGGTGGGGGCTGGGTGAGGAGGGGCTGAGTGGGGAGGGTGGGGCTGGGTGGGGAGGGGCTGGTCACCCCGTGGTGCCCTTATAAAACTCAACGTTTAACCTGCTCACGCCGGCTTGTGCCCGCCCTCACAGTCGGGCATTTTTGCGGAATACACCACGCCGCCGTTGACCCTGCCCATTGACCGAGCAACCCAACGTTCCTACCAGCTCCCTCCGCAGGAGGAATGTGTTTGGCTGTGTCGGGTGGAGGAGGGTTTACGACACACATTTTACTTACGAGACGCGATTCCAAAATAAATCAATTATTAAGTGCTACATAGTCCACCTCGGTCCATGTTAAACTGTAATTCCATGTTAAACTGTAATCCCATAGTGAACTGGACTAACATGGTACAACTATTAAAGACTCTTTACTAGTTTTATTTTATTTTACCAGGTCAGAAGCGACATGGCTATCACAAATGATAGTTCAACGAAGTGGCTGATCATGTTGACATTTATAGCGGCCAAATACTCTAAACGCAACTGGTCTCCCACGGTAAACCACTACTCCCATGGAATAGGTGAACCGGGATGATCCTACAGTACTCAACACTACAGCACACAAAGGCAAAGGTCCCCCGTGTAGCCTTAACAGACTGTTGGGGCAAGTGCTGTTAGCGAGTAGCACCTATTGAAGACCGGCGATGTTTGCTACACACCGCACACAAAGTACTAATTTGAGGCTGAGTCTACCTAGGGGTGGCCCATGACCGGTTCAGATAATCGAAATCGGGTCGCCAGGTTCATCGTGCAGCGTGGCGCTAACCACTACGCCACCACTCCCTCACATATACAGAGACAAAGATCCCCCGTATAGCCTTCACTGACTGTAGGGGCAAGTGCTGTTAGCGAGCATCCACATATACAGTCCCATGATCACACACACAACACACACATATATATACTTACACATCTGTATTCACAACACGACACAATACACAACACACACCCTGCACACCACACGTAACATACAAACAACATAATATCATACCACACACACCGACACACAACACGACACACCACCCTACATATACACCACAACACACACCACACAACACACACAACAGTACTGCACACACACCAATGCTGTACTGTACACGCTCTTAAATCACAAAACACACACGCGGTCACACAGAACACACTGTACAGTACTGTACTCACACTGTACAGCACTGTACTCAGTCACATACACTGTATATCACTGGACTCACACGCACACTGTGCAGCACTGTACTCAGTCACACAACACACTGTACAGTACTCACAGTCATACACTGTGCACACAGCCACACACACTGTACAGAACTGTACTCGTACGTACTGTACAGCACTGTACTCAGTCACACAACACACTGCACAGCACTGTACTCACAGCCACACACTGTACTCACAGCCACACACTGTACAGCACTGTACTCACACACAGCACTGTACTCACAGCCACACACTGTACTCACAGCCACACACACTGTACAGCACAGTACTCACAGCCACACACACTGTACAACACTGTACTCACACACACTGCACAGCACTGTACTCACAGCCACACACTGTACTCACAGTCACAACACACTGTACAGCACTGTACTCACCGTAGACACGCCAGCGCTGTGAAGACCGAGCGCTGTGGTTACACGAGGGGGTAGCCAGCACCACGCCCGGCCGCCTTTGTCTCTCCCCCAGTTACTACACACCGCACCGGGTACTCATTTGAGGCTGAGTCGACCTAGGGGAGCCACCGTGATCGGGAATCGAACTTAGGGCTCGCCGGGTTTGGTCCGCGCGGCGCGCTAACCGCTGCACCACCGCTCCCCACCAACTCGCACAAAGACAAAGGTCCCCCCGGTGTAGCCTCTAACACTGTAGGGGCAAGTGCTGTTCGCAGTCAGCACCTGTGAAGGTCGGCACGGCACCACGTGGCCAGCAACCACGTCCCGGCCGCCTTTGTCTCTCCACCGCAGCAGGTGCTCATTTGAGGCTGAGTCGACCTAGGGGAGGCCCAGGACCGGGTTCAGATAATCGTCACCGGTGTTGGCCGTGAGCGGGAATCGATCTCGGGTCGACCCGAGATCGATTCCCGCTCACGGCCACCAACATCCAGTGACGATTATTTGTACCGGTCCTGGGCCTCCCCTAGGTCGACTCGGCCTCAAATGAGTACCTGGTGCGGTGTGTAGTAAACATCGCCAGCTGTGGAGACAACCCAACAGTCTACTCTAGAACATTAATCATAAGTCGATAATCTGTAACACTAACACTATCTTTAACACTAAACCATGTCTCTAACAGTTATCTTTGATACCAATTTTATCTCTAACACGACTCCCTAAAACTAACCCTATCTCGAACACTAAGGGGCCGTCCATAAATGACGTCACGCGATTTTGGACGATTTTTGACCCCCCCCCCCCCGTCAAATATGACGTCACAAAGCTCTGCCCCCCCCCCCCAAAAAAATATATAAACATGCTTCAAATCGCTTTAAACTATTGTCATTGTAGTGCGTATTTAATGTGGCGCTGCACTCTGATGTTGTAGGAGAAAACATTTATTAAAAAGTATATTTTATGAAGTAGAACGTGTTGTCTATATTTATTTAAAGTTGCGTATTTTTATGTGACGTCACATTTCTCACCCCCCCCCCTCCTCGTCACACATCGTCACAAATGTCTGACCCCCCCCCCCCCCTAAGTGCGTGACGTCATTTATGGACGGCCCCTAACGTATCCGAACCATAACACTATATAACATTAACCATATCTCTAACACTAACGTTAGTTACCTCTCGACCCCTAACTTTAAACCCAGATGTAATATCACCCTAATCCCCAATACTAATAATACACACGATACCGACCTTATCGATACTATTACTCATCATCAGAGTAACTCCTACATCCAGCACAAACATTATCTTTCTCTATACAAACCCTGTTGCAAACCACACCAAAAACACCACTCAACACCTGTCCACAATGCAAACAAAGTCATCAACAGTTGCTGAATTACTCAATCGTGACCCTCTTTTCTCAGGACACCATCAGAACAAATTCGCGTAAATATGATCGATCCCACAGCAACAGTGACACGGATACACCTGTGGACCGGTTTCATGCTTTATACCACTCATCAGTACAGCCTAATCACCAGACCACACACAGCACGGGGTCCATCATGAGCTTGGTGGCCCATGCCAAAGACCATCAACCCACCCCCTAGAAGCCCCCCGAGCCCCCCACCCCGACCCCCCCACCCCGAGGCCCCCACCCCGACCCCCCCACCCCGAGCCCCCACCCCGAACCCCCCACCCCGACCCCCCCACCCCGAGGCCCCCACCGCGACCCCCCCCACCCCGAACCCCCCCACCCCGAGGCCCCCACCCCGAGGCCCCCACCCCGAGCCCCCACCCCGAAGCCCCCACCCCGAACCCCCCACCCCGAGCCCCCACCCCGAGCCCCCCACCCCGAACCCCCCACCCCGACCCCCCCACCCCGAGCCCCCCCACCCCGACCCCCACCCCGAGCCCCAACTACCGACCCACCCCCCACCCCCGACCCCCCCCCCCACTCCGACCCCCCACCCCGACCCCCCACTCCGAGCCCCCCACCCCGACCCCCCCCACCCCGAACCCCACTCCGAGCCCCCCACCACGAGGCACACACCCCGACACCCCCACTCCTAGCCCCCCACCCACGACACCCCCCACCCCGGAGCCCCCCACATCCGACCCCCCCACCCCGACCCCCCCACCCCGACCCCACCCCGGAAGGCCCCCACCCCGAGCCCCCCACCCCGAGCCCCCACCCCGAACCCCCCACCCCGAGGCCCCCACCCCGAGCCCCCACCGCGACCCCCCCACCCCGAACCCCCCCCACCCCGAGGCCCCCACCCCGAGGCCCCCACCCCGAGCCCCCACCCCGAACCCCCCACCCGAGCCCCCACCCCGAGCCCCCCCCACCCCGAACCCCCCACCCCGACCCCCCCACCCCCGAGCCCCCACCCCGACCCCCCACCCCCGACCCCCACCCCGACCCCCCCACCCCCGAGCCCCCACCCCGACCCCCCCCCCACCCGAGCCCCCACCCCGACCCCCCCACTCCGAGCCCCCCACCCCGACCCCCCCACCCCGAACCCCCCACTCCGAGCCCCCCACCCCGAGGCACACACCCCGACCCCCCCACTCCGAGCCCCCCACCCCGACCCCCCCCCACCCCGAGCCCCCCACTCCGACCCCCCCACTCCGAGCCCCCCCACCCCCGACCCCCCCCACCCCGAACCCCCACCCCGAGGCCCCCACCCCGAGCCCCCCACCCCGAAGCCCCACCCCGAACCCCCCCACCCCGAGGCCCCACCCCGAGCCCCCACCCCGAACCCCCCACCCCGAGCCCCCACCCCGAGCCCCCCACCCCGACCCCCCCCCACCCCGAACCCCCACCCCGAACCCCCCACCCCGAGGCACACACCCCGACCCCCCCACCCCGAACCCCCCACCCCCGAGGCCCCCACCCCGAGCCCCCACCCGAACCCCCCACCCCGAGCCCCCACCCCGAGCCCCCCACCCCGAGCCCCCAGTCCGAGCCCCCCACCCCGAGGCACACACCCCGACCCCCCCACTCCGAGCCCCCACCACGACCCCCCCACTCCGAGCCCCCCACTCCGAGCCCCCACCCCGAGGCACACACCCCGACCCCCCCCACTCCGAGCCCCCCACTCCGAGCCCCCCACCCCGAGGCACACACCCCGACCCCCCCACTCCGAGCCCCCACCACGACCCCCCCACTCCGAGCCCCCCACTCCGAGCCCCCACCCCGAGCCCCCCACCCCGAGCCCCCCACCCCCCCCGACTGTTACGACTTCCGAATAGCCTGGAACTGACTCCGAGATGGGGTGAAGATGGACGGATGTGTCATGTTGACGCTGGTGAGATCTTTACAAAGCTGAGCTGCAGCAGCAGCAGTAGCAGCAACAGCAGCAGCAGTAGCAATAGCAGCAGGAACAGCAGCAGTAGTAGCAGCAGCAACAGCAGTAGCAGCAGCAGTAGTGGCAACAGCAGCAACAGCAGCAGCAACAGTAGTAGCAGCAGTAGTAGCAGCAGTAGTAGCAGCAGCAACAGCAGTAGCAACAGCAGTAGTGGCAACAGCAGCAACAGCAGCAGCAGCAACAGTAGTAGCAGCAGTAGTAGCAGCAGCAACAGCAGTAGTAGCAGCAACAGCAGCAGCAACAGTAGTAACAGCAGTAGTAGCAGTCCCCCCCCTCCCATCATAGCGCCCCCTATAGCAGCAGCAACAGTAGCAGCAGCAGCATCTGCAGCAGTACCCCCCCATCATAGCGCCCCCTATAGCAGCAGCAACAGTAGCAGCAGCAGCATCTGCAGCAGTACCCCCCCATCATAGCGCCCCCTATAGCAGCAGCAACAGCAGCAGCAGCGTCAACAAGCAGCAGCAGCAGCGAGCAAGCGGCTCGGCTCATGACGCGTGGTGTGTGTTGGGGGAGACAGGGAGCAGAGAGAGAGAAACAACACAGAGAGAGACGCGAGACACGGAGCACACAGAGAGATACACACAGAGACAGAGACACAGAGAGAGAGACACAGAGAGAGAGACACACAGAGACACACAGACACACAGAGAGACACACAGAGACACACTCACACACAGAGACACACACAGAGACACACACGCACGTGTGAGACACACACACACAGACACACAGAGAGACACACACACAGAGAGACACACATACACACACACAGAGACACACACAGAGACACACACGCACGTGTGAGACACACACACACAGAGAGACACACACACAGACACACAGAGAGAAACAACAGAGAGAGATAAAGACGCAAGACACGGAGCACACACAGACACACACACACGCAGAGACACACACACACAGAGAGACACGCACACACACAGAGACACACACTCAGAGACACACACAGAGACACACAGAGACACACACACACAAACACACAGAGACACACACAACACACACAGAGACACACACGGGATGTACCTCGAGACACACACGCTCGTGCGGAGACACAGAGACAGTCCTGTTGGTGGTGTGTGCACGTAAGAGACACGTCGGAGCCGACAGGCGACATCATCGACTTGGAAACACGGAGCCAGAGAGAGGAGAGAGAGGATAGAGATAGATGATAGAGAGAGAGAAGAGAGATGATAGATAGAGAGAAGAGAGAGAGAAGCGAGAGAGGATAGAGGAGAGAGAGGAGAGAGAGATAATCGCGCACGCACGAACGCGCAACGATAATCGACTTGGTGCGCGGCGGGGCTAGAAGACAGCGGAGACTTTAAAGGAGACGCAAGCAGCTTGAGTCGAGACGCAGATGGGAGCGAGACGACAGCCGAGATAAGAGAGACACCGAGCGAGGAAGAAGACACGATCGGATAGACACCAGAACCACCACCAGCAGCACCACCAGCAGCACTTGAGACGCACGTGGAGTCGCTAGGCACACGCGCCGACTTACACGCACGTGCGTAAGGCACATTCCAAGACGCACACACGCGGACACGCACACACGGCGAGAGGGATACACAGGAAGACAAGACGACTCTGTGCTTCATTAGAGGCATGCATAGGGGGATCACAGGCCATGTGTCACTAGGCAGTGTAGAGTGACGATCAGCGCTGTTATTCCTCGTTAGGTCTTTTGGTGCTGCTTGAGTCGGAATACCGTAAGGCACATTCCAAGACGCACACACGCGGACACGCACACACACACACGGCGAGAGGGATACACAGGAAGACAAGAACGAATCTGCGCTTCATTAGAGGCATTCATAGGGGGTCACAGG